CGGAGTTTGGTTGAAGATGAAGCCACCCTCATGCCTAAATAAGAAGAATCATTTCACTATTTCTCAACAAACAAATGATCGTAATTCAACGGGAAACCACACAAGCACTTCTGAGTCTCTCTTGACTCCGAAGGAAGAGATCGTTGCCCGGGATCCATCTGCTTTATGTCAATTATGACATCACTAGAATCCCACATGTTTATTTTAATTTATTTCTTTATCTTTGGCACACTCTTGCACGAAAATTCTTGTGATTTTCTAAAGTCTGGTTCTTAACTCTAAATGATTACTTTCTTATTCTGAGAACAGGATGTGGTGATGGTTGCTTCGTTACGAATGTGCATAACTGAAACGGAAAAACTTATGGGATAAGATTTCAATTTGGGCGCGTGAAAATTTCAAAAAGTGGCTGACATCACATTGTCAGTTCCGCCGCCTGACACACGCCTAGCTGTCACGTATTTCAAGGCTACTTTTTCAGGATTGTGGAGTGCCAAACGCAAATTTCTCTCACCTGTCACACCGTATAAGAGGAAATTCGACTCTTGATTATCATTTACCACTTTCAAAGCTCTCGAATTCTCTGGCAAGAAAACCCTTATTCTCTTAAACTCTGTTCATCTTCTCCATCTGCATCAATGGAAGCTTCTTCTGAAACTCCATCTATGGTTGAGCAAACGGCTCAATCGACTCTGCTGAACATCAAGGCCAACTAAAACCTAATCCTCAATCTTGACTCATCCAAATACGATGTGTCTCTCCAGCCGATGATCGAGTGTCTTCGTCATTCGCCTTTGGCATCGGCGCTTAACATGGATGAGAATGTTCCTTTGGTTCACCTCTCCAAAGCATTCTCCACCGCTAGTTATCAAGAGGGTGAGGCTGTCATTACCTTTGACATTGATACTCAGAAAACCTACATCTCCAAGTCAAGGTTCAGTCGATTGCTAGGGTTTTCTCAAGATAGGGATTTTGTTGATCCAGACTCCATCTCTTCCTCTGCTATTCTATATATGTTTTATCAGATGGGTTATTCAGACACCCTAATAATTTTGTCAAATTTCAAGAAGCCCAATCTTCCTCCCATGTGGAATGGGTTGTTCACTTAGGTAACGATTGTATTCTGCCCTACCGTGCCTTTACAGAGAAGTTCTTCACCGAGCTCTTCTAAGGCATTGATTTTAATCATTAAGCACAACTGCGATCATTGTTCTTTGTGTTTGATTCCTATTTTATGTTCTGAATCTATCGATCTTTATTTTATTGTCACAACATGACCTTGTAGTTTGTCAAACAACTGGTAGAGCTTTAGTTTTTTCAGAGATCCATTACTCTAAAGACATGACTTAACATTACCCAACCTTTTCCTAAATTGTTGATGAACTTGAGGTTGTACTCGAGAGGAGTTCGGACTACTCCATGTGTTGTCACGTTGTTCACCACGATCCTATACCGGTTTGATACAAAAGCAACAAATTCACCAGGAGTTGTAGTGAAGGTGTCAAAGTCGTTTAGCATCGAGGTCAAACGCTTATCCTTCATGTTCTCTAACCCTTCGAACAAGTCTTGAAGTGTATCCCAAATCTCTTTAGCAGATTTGCACAATTTAATGTTCTTAAAAAGAGAAGGAGGAATCCATGAGAGTGGAAACAACATCTCTTACCACTTGTCTAATAGGAACATGAGGACCTTCTTTCACCGACCTCCATATTTCTTCACCTTTTTCTTTACCAATAAAAAATCTCTCCATTCTAACTTTCTAGTGATCATATTCTTCAACAACTAGCAATGGGGAATGCGATGGGCAACCCACACTATTTGCTATTTGCATTGAGTACATTTGTTGAGATTGATTAGAAGCAGCCATTGAAGTTAAGATATTAGAGCTGAAGTGGTATATAGAAGAACTTTTATCTTGAACACACAAATGATTGAGATAATAAGGTAATCAACACTCAACTATAATCTGTTCTTATTGATTCAAGGACAACAACTTAGGCTCGGATACCAATTGTGAATGCAAGAAGATGCGCGGACAAGGTTTGAGAACTCAAACCTTGAATTAACTTAAGATCAATGTCTGCTTGTAATGAAGATCCAGTCAAGTCTGGTAAACCAGTCTTGTCTCAGAATAGATATAATCAACAAAGTGTTCAAATATGGAAAAGTAGTAAGTATGAACAATGTAAAGTAATTCAAGAACAAGAAGAATGTAAGAGATAATGATTGACTGAATGATTCTTGATTAGAGTGAAAAAGGTGCACACTTATCTATCTTGATACAAGGAAGACACATCCTTAAATAGCTAAGGAGTAACTAAAAGACAAATCATATAAGTGCGCATGGACTGAGAGACTTATGAAGATCAACAGACTGACACACCCTTGTTGTTGATCTTGTCTCTTGTACTATACTAGAAAACAATAAGAACACTACAAAATAGTACTTACAACAATTAATACATTACAGACTCAAAATACTTCTAAACAAACATAGATCTTGGACAAGTCTTCATCTCGGAACATTTACACTACAGACTTAATCAACATCTCGGATTGCATAAGCATCAATTTTTCATGTTCCAACATGAGTAAATTCACTTGCGAATGTTACAAAACTAAATTTAAAACAAACCGATTTCATTTCGTTTTTTTTTTAATTTGGTTTATTTTTATCAAAAAAATAAAATAAATATATCAAAATTTATAATTTTTGTACTTTTTAAATAAACATTACTATTGATGTATAAAAGACATTTTTTTCTAAATTTTAGCTCAAATTCACATTGTGAATGGTGGACTCTATATTATATTCAGTTCAAATTCACAGTGTAAATATAAGTAATTCAGATTCAAATTGTGAGTTCTAAAAGTTAAATTATTTACAGTTCAGATTCACAATGTGAACAACTTCACTTATGAATTTTATAAAATTAAATTATGAATAATCAAAACGTTAAAATATTATAAAATTACAAGAATTAAATTTCAATTTCCATGTAAAAATATGCACACATGAAAAGTACATATATGCACAAACGTCGAAAGTGTATATGTTCTTCAAAAATAACTTTTATATGTGCAATTTTTTTCAATATTTTTTTTGTTTTTTTTTTGTGTGAATGAATTACTATGTGACTGACTTAATGTTTTAAGTCACTTTAAAAAAAATCATACAAAAAAATTTGCAAAGTTCACGGGGAAAATATGGGTGCGCAAAAAAAGGTAATTATTAATTGTTTTGTGGTTAATGTCATAAAAGGGTAATCAACTATTCAAAATGTTATAAAATACCATTCTAACAATAGTATTTTTAAAAACAAGATGATAGATGATTACCTTTTATATATATATATATATATATATATATATATATATATATATATATATATATATATATATATATATATATATATATAAGCTTCAGGCTTGGGGGAGTGGTGCGGTTCAGAACCGCGGTTTCGCCACCGTGGCAGCGTGAACACTGCCCCCCGAGTGTGTTCAAGTGCGGTTCAGACCGCAGTGTGGCACATTTTGGCCGTGTGTTTTGATTGGTCCAAGCCTTTTGACCGTTTCAATGGTCCTTTTTTCGAATTCAATTTTTTTAAACTAACCCTATATATACATCTCAATTTTTTACAAAAACCTCATTCAAATGCCTTAACATTTTACCATATTTTTCTCAAACCCTCTCAAAATGTATTCTTCTAAAAAGCCTACCAACGGAAAAACACCCACTAGAAACACCACAAACCTAACACCTTCATATGATCAACCGATTTATTCGCCTTCGTATTTTCCACAACAAATCTCACAACTACAACGAACAACACAACCACTACCACACACACAACCACAACCCGACCTAGATTTTAATCCGTTTGAGTTTTTGTCTCAACCTGAGTTTGTTCAACGAACACAATCACAACCTCGAACAGTCATTTCTGATTCCGAACCGAAATTCGTTCAAGAAACTCAACGCACTCGAGCACCAAGTAAAAGAAAAGAGAAGGTCGTGGAACCCCTAGAAGTGTTAGTGTTGGCACAAGTATGGATTGATATTTCAGAAGACGCGACGACTGGAAAAGACCAAAAACATGACCGTTTTGGATTCAGGTTTTACATAGGTTCCACAAAGGAATGAACCGTGGAGTCTGTCGTTTAAAACATCAAGTGTACTCGAAATGGAGGAAGATGAACATGGAAGTCATGTTGTTTAATGATTTGTATACCAACATGAAACGTCAATGGAAAAGCGGAGAAAGCGATGATGTGATTTTGCAGAAAGCATTGAAAGTGTATCAAAAAGAAAATGTGAAGGCTTCTAAGTTTCTTGAAGTTTGTAATCTTGTGAAAGATAACAAAAAATGGCAAAACAGCAAAACATTAGGCAATTTTTCGGTTTTTTTTTTAAATGTCATGTTATTTTTTTTAAATAATGGAATGAATGGATTTTAATTTTTAATTAATGAAATGTTATTTTTTTATTTATAAAATTTAAAGTTTTTATTTAAATTAAATTGTTAATAAACAAAAAGTATGACACCATTCTTTAGGTCTAGCAAGAAACCATACTTATCACCTATATACCACTGTGTTTAAAAAAAAAAAAAAAAAAAAAAAAAAAAAAAAAAAAAAAAAAAAAAAAAAAACCGTAACACCACTCCTTCTAACCGTCATCATTTGTAAAGTCAATTTTATCATCTCAAAACATGATAAAAATAGTAAAATACTGTTATGAAAAGAAGCAAATGAACCAACCTGCATCAACACACCAAAATAAATCGAATTTTGTTTTGGTTTTTTAGAGGACGGTTACTGTTCATTATATTTTTGCAGGGGTCCAAACTGAAAAGTTTCCTTTTCATTAAAGCTTTTCTCTTCCCCACACACATATTCACACACCTAGTAAAAAGGCACTTGGTACTCTCTCTCCTCAAACACCTAGTAAAAAGCTCTCAGTATCCTCTTTCTCTCTCTCTCTCTCTCTCTCTGTCCACATTATTATAGTCTCTCTCTCTTTCTCTCTCTCTCTCTCTACTCTCTCTACCTTTCTTCATTCGGTATGGTAAAAATCTCCTGATTTTCCCTCATTTTCTGAGATGTTGCAGGCTCTAACTGCGATCGGTAAGGTATTATTGCTATATTTATACATACATATTCCTAAATGAGCAACCTTACTTTTTTGCTTTATTTCCATATAAATTTTTTGCAACTGGTTATAGATGTGGAGTACGAAACAGATTTGAAGATGATATCTTAATTCTGATTTCTGTACAGTTGAAGTTTGGTGGGTGTTTTCGATTGCGGAAACCCTAGCTGTTCGGATTTAGTATGAACAGTTGTGTGGTTTGAAAAGGGGAAGCGATTCAACGGTGTGTTTTTAATGATTATAGTTTCCGGTTTGGGTGAAGTAAGTGCTGTTTGATTTTTGATCTGAAAATATCCAAAGATAGGAAGAATAATGATAATAAACTAGTTTTTTGGAAAAGCGAATGAACGGATGAACTGGTTAGATAGATAGATTTGTGCTTGGGAAAAGCAAATAAATTTTTTTTCTATAACTCACTCTTTTAATTACCTTTACATCTCTACTGTGAAAGTGAAAATGACATTTCCACGTCATGTGGGGAACAATCCTCATCGACTCCAAAGAAACAGTGCTTGCCCCTTTTCGCATTTTAATTGGGGACATCATTATTTTCATGCAACTTTAATTTACTATTATCATGCCGGGAGAAAAGAAACGATGTTTCTTCTTGTTTCATTTAGTTACATTGATTGATGACCTTTTTAATCAAATTGCCTTTTTTGTTTGGAACAAAAGCTATACAGTTTGCAAGAATGAGCGAGTTTTAGATAGATTAGAAAACCCATCACACATTCGTCCTCATCATTCATCCAGATTGTATTCGTAGTGAGTTTGCTTTTTCCAACAAGAATAAATAATGAGTTATATGTAACGAAAAGTCATTCATAGTGATAGTATCATCATCTGTATAGTTGAAAAAGTTGTTTTGTAGCTAGATTCCAGGGACAAAGATCCAAATTGTGTGGGCTCTCTATAACTGAATGAACATCTATAAATCACTACTACTGTTGGGGTCCTCTTTACTGTGTACTTGGCATATGCTGTCTGTATGGCAAAAAGTTTTCTTCCATGTATTTCAATTATTGGGTTTGGGTGGTTTTTAGTCAAGACTTTGAGGGATTCATAATTGAATTTAAATGTTTTAATTGTTTTGCAGATATAAAAGGTATTTGCATTCCATGAAATATTCAGAGGGCCAAGTGAAAACAGAGGAATTAGTTTCCAGACATGGAGTGGAATACAAAGTGGGACTGGGAAAACCATGAAATATTCAGCTCAAAAGTTATGGCAAGCCCTAAAAAGCTACAAACCAACTACGAAGAGGAATTGGATGGATCTTTTAATCTTTCCGGTGTTGTTGGTGGCAGCGGAGGGTCCGCCTCTGACATGGGGAACAGCTCCATATCAGCTTCAACCGAATCATCATTTAAGGACGGAAATGGAAACGGAAACGGAATCGGAATCAGAGTTTCCAAATTCCCATTCCAGGGTTTCGCAGGCTTTCCCAACTCTTCAAAGAAAGAATTTGAATCGCCTCCGCCATCAGTTAGCTCCGGCGAACCGTTCATCGGTTTAAAACTCGGGAAAAGGACATACTTTGAGAACAACAACTCAAAAACATCATCTTTCTCAGATATACCTATTTCATCGGTTTCTACAGTCAAGAAAGTCAAATCATCATCATATTCCCAAACTACCCCTACCCCACGCTGTCAGGTTGAAGGATGCAATCTTGATCTCTCATCTGCAAAAGAATATCATCGGAAACATCGAGTTTGTGAAAGCCATTCCAAATCTCCCAAAGTTGTAGTCGGTACCCTTGAACGCCGCTTTTGCCAACAGTGTAGCAGGTGATGGATGAAATTCACAATTCCATTCCGGGGTCCATTTTGTCTGATAAAATTTCTTATTTGCATGCATAGATTTCATGGTTTGTCGGAATTTGATGAGAGGAAGCGAAGCTGTCGCAGGCGTCTTTCGGATCACAATGCAAGGCGCAGGAAACCACAGCAGGAGACCATTCAATTCAACTCAACAAACATGTCTTCATCATTTTATGGTACACATCTCATGCTTTTTGGTTTTGGTTTTGGTTTTATAGATAGATGATATTGAAAATGGTTTTTAGGTGGGAGACAAAATTTGAGTTTTGTTTTAAACAATGGTGGCCCTCTGGTTCAAAGTAGACCACCTGCTGTAAGTTCAACATGGGAAAATTCATCTGTCAACATGCCTACTACTATTGGTTTCAATAGGTCAGTGCCATTGAAAGCCACCAGAGTCGAGGCTCTTGATCAAGGTTTGATTTACATTTTTTTTTTTAATTTAGACTAAATTACAACTTTGATCCCCAGTGTTTTGGTCTTTATTTGAGGTTTTTTTCGTCTCTGTTCCAAGTAAAACATAAGTTTTAATTATAAAAAATGTTGCAGGTTTTAAAGAGTCATTGAGTCCTCCAAATGTAGACGCGCTCGATATTCGTCGTGCTCTCTCTCTTCTGTCAAACAACACGTGGGGTGTATACGAGTCGGATTTAGTTGCGGTGGAGCAGCATCACAATCACAATCACAATCACAATGGCAATCCAATCCAACATGGGATGCAGTCTGTTCCCCAACTGCCACCAGTGGAGGAATACTGGCGGCAGCCTGAGCCACCCATTGATGCCGCCGCCAAAACAAGCAATTCCATTTCCACCACTCAATTCCAAGACTTTCAGCTTTTTAATCGCTTCTATTCCAATCCAATTCCAATGGATGAAATCTATGATGATTCTTCCATATCCAAATTTAAACTTGTTTAGGTGCTGCTCATTCTTAGGGCTTCCCATGCTTTGCCCTGCCCTTATTAATAACAAAGTCAGCAGGGGTGGGTCTCCGTACAACTGTCTATTCACATATGTTTTGGTTGTTGTATTCATTTTGCATTTCTTGACACGTGTAGTGTAGTATAATGTTGATGTATGGGATTTTACTTGCTGCTATTATATCCATCCATGGTTATTGGTTGGAGTTTTCAGTTTTGTGGGTGGGGTCCACTTACCGACTGTACCGCTATGGTGTATGTTATCATATGTTATACATGTACATCATCATCAATGCATGGCTCCAAGTACATGAGCCATGAGGTGAAGAGTATGGGGTGGGAGTAGGTGCCAAAAATTCACTTATTGAAGACGATGAATGATGGTAAGAAAGAGTGGTAGGGTAGTGACCACCCTAACAATGTAATGTGGTGGTCCTTGACCTTGAGTTGTTGTATGAGGGCTGCAACCAAGCTGTTTCAGATGGACCTTTGATATCGACGGCCTATCAACACTCAATTTGTCTTAAATGAAAAGGCCAAACTTTGGAATTAGCATGACTATAGGTTTTAGTAGCTTTTTTTTATTAAAAAAAAAATACTTTGGATTAATAATTTTGCAACAACTTCTTGTGTTGTTCATACCTGATACCTCTTTAGTTTGGTTTGGGTCAACAAACTAAACCAGAGTTTTGATTTTTAGACCAAAACCATAATCAAGCTTTCTACAGTATGATTTTGGTCTTCCAAACTTTTCTCAGATTCAGAATTCTACTCTTTTAAAATAGGTAGAGCATCTACAGTTAAAATTACCAAAGGCTTCTGACCTAACTATATCCGGTGTTGCCCTTCCTCCTTGAGAGTTGAGGGTTCAAGTCTCGTCGTGGACATAGGTGGAATTAAAAATAATTTAGTTAGAAGTAGATTACGTAAAAACACTACTTTTATGTTATTATTTTGCAATGCATTTTGTATTCATAATTTTATATCATTATTCAGCAATGAATAAATGAATATTCACAGGTTAAAACTAAAATTAAAATTTATTACAAAAATACATACATAAATTTATAAAAGAATAATAACATTATAATGAATATATGAATAATCGAACGTTAACAATTAAAATTACTTCAACAATACACATACAACATTTATTGCAAAATAATAACATAAACATAATGTTTTTATGTTTTCACACTATTTACTGTTTTTATTTGAGCTTTTATATATATATATATATATATATATATATATATATATATATATATTGAAATTGTTCATTAAAAACCCGATAAACCTTTTCCCATAATCCATCAAAAAAAAAAAAAACAATACAAATATACATAAGATAAGTGTCAGAGGAAATTATAAAGCTTCTACTAGAGGTCTAATAAAAAACACATTCCAAATACATAGATGTTGGGGATGAATTTCAAAATAAAAAATAATATGAGTTCAAAAGCAATAAGAAGAAGCTAGCATTGAAAGAAAATTATGTTTTTTAATCAAAATGAAGTCAATTTAGATGGTTCTATACCTAATATTACATACATGGCAGCCACAAACACACACACACACACACACACATATATATATATATATATATATATATATATATATATATAATCTAGAGATTTTTAGTAAATTACTTTTTTCATTAACTTGTATATGTATGGTTAATAGAGGAGAAAAGAATAGGCAAGTGAAACCAAACCCAAGGGTTCTTCCAAGTCAAACTAATTTTGGTTTGGTTTTGGTTTTAGTGAAAACGTAAAACCTAACCATGTGCACCTTATTAATACCGAGGCGAGTAGAAACCAAAGTTTATCAGCATTCATTTCACAGCCACAGCCAGTCAACCAAGCAAATGTGCCAAGCTTAACAGTCCGTCCTTTTGGTTTTACTTTTGGATATCAACAAAACAATTACACAGGTCAAAATGTGTAGAAAATAAATATTAAAAGATTTTCTTATATGGTTGAAAATAAATATATATAGATTAGTATTAATGTCCCTCCCTAGCCTACAATATAAACAAAGACCAGGTTAGATAGTTATGAGTAATTGAGAGGTCCCTGATGAACTATGTATCAATTAACCACACCACCGACACACATGACAAAAACTTTAGCAGCTTTCCAGCAAAAAGAAAGCTAAAGCTCTGCTGGGGTGGGGACCACTACACCATTTAGTCTAGGTTTAAGTTAACCGTGGTCCAACAAACACATAACTCATAATACACCAAAAACAGACACCTAATAAAGACAAAGACAGCCCTAACTGTTCATGCAGAATCAACAATAATAATAATAATAGTAGTAACAAGTATACATATCCAGCCAGCTCTTACCCCCACCCAAACAACTGAATCAGTTTGTTAAGACCATAAACTCCGGGGTTTTATATATAAATAAATAAGCTACAAGAATTTAACAAAACACAAACCACAGTAACTGAAACTCAATAAGATAACCTCAGCAACAGGAAGGAAGGAACACGACATGAATGAGAATGACTCACTTTCAGACCCGACCCGACCCGACCCGACCCGACCCATACTGAGACTGAGCAACTCTTGACCTACTCACTGGAACAAAAATTATTAAGTCAGAAGGATCACCACTCACATCACATATCAGTAAATTACATTTTTACCCGCTTGCTTTTTGCAATTTTCGTCCTTTTTGCTCCTTGTCCCAAGTAATATATGACTATGCTTTTTCAGACCACAATCATCTATACTCACCAAAACTAGTCATTTTACTCGGAATTGGAACAAAAAGAAAAGGTGACAAAAATTGCAAAAGAAAACTTTCAGGGACCAAAAATGCAAGTTACTCTCCAAGCAAGATTAAAAGCAGATCAGAAAAACAGAAATGGTAAAGGGTAAAAAATGACTAGCAACAATTTTCGCTTTACATTCATAGTATAGTATAGTACCAAAAACAAAACAGATTTATTTAACCAAAAGAACAACTGGATTAAACATTTGACAAAACAGACCTGATCATTGCCTTCTACTTCTTCTTCTTCTTCTTCTTCAGGGAAATTTTGGGATTCTGATGGTTTTTCAGCGTCACAGTTCTGTCTGTTACATTTTGTCCTAAATGGATAATTTATGTTGTTACATTTCTCACACTTCCAGCTCCCCTCAGGCATATCTGTTTCACAAAACAATAAATATATAAAACATATATCCATCCAACCAAATATATCCGTAGTATACATATGCATGTATCACTTACTCGAACTCTTGCCCGACTTTCCACCCTGCATATTAACACCATATAATAAAAATTAATTAAATAGTCAGAGACTATATATATATATATATATATATATATATATATATATAAAATATAAGATTTGTCAAAAACCTGAGATCCTGGCTTAGATGTATTGCATTTCCTCATGTTACAAACCGTTCTAAAAGAGAAATTCACATTTCCACATTTTGGGCATGCCCAGTCATTTTCTCGTGTACCATCTGAATTTCCAAGTAAAATAAGAACATAAAAAAAGATATTGTTTCATCATCATACAAAATTATAAGTATAACATACCTTTCTTTTGAGGTGTCTCTTCTGGGAAAAATCCAGGTCGTGGCCCCTAAGATGATATAAATATTATTATAAATAAAAAAATTGTGTAATATTTTGTATTTTAGAAAAAAGTAAAGATTTCAACACATACCATGGGCAAGCCTAGACCGTATCGATCCATCAACTGAGGTACACCATACATACCATTCCCTATGATGGGCCCACCAGGATACGAGGGGGCAGAGAGGTGCATGGGTCGATAAGGGTTTCCACCTCCAGAAAGGCGGTGGTTGTTATAGTTGTAATAGGCGGAGCCACCAGATAATGGGACATCATAAGGAGACATAGAGGTTCCATTGAATAAAGATGAGCCATAAGGCATGTACATTGAAGATGGTGCACCAGAATTTGCATAAGGAGATGATGAAGAGTAGCCATGCCCATGACCATGCCCCTGTGGTGTCAGCATTTGCCTTGGGGCAGATTTCTGCAAATCAACAACTCTTTTACCTCTTTAGTTTGATGCAATAAACAACAGTTTCTAATTGTAAGATGTGTTTACTGTTTAGTAAGTAACTTACTGAATTATGATCAGCTGGTCTAGGCTGCGTACAGTTGCGCATATTGCAAGTTGTCCTAAAAGAGAAGTTGACATTCCCACAGCTGGGACAGGTCCAGTCATCTTCCCTACGACCACCTGAAAATCATATATTATACACATCCAATCCAGACCAGAATTTAGGATTCATCAAAATGTTGAAATAACAACTGTCAATATGGGGATGAAACTTGCATCTCAAAAGTAGAAGTTTTTTTTTTTTTTTAAGATAGGAGCTTAAAAACTGCAGGTGGCTCAAATTTAATATATAGCCTAGGATCAGAAATTGGAGAAACATTTGTTCAAAGTTTAAACCAAGCTAACGCCAACCACTAGCTAGTCAATCAATACAGAAACGGCTAACAGAATTAAGTGAAGAACAATAAACTAAAAAGCAATTAGCATGATAGATTATGAACTGAGCATACCATCGGTTCTAGCTCTTTTGACGGCGGAGGAGTTTCTGTTATCCATCTAAAACCAGAAGATAATGCAAATTATTATTATTATTATTATTATTATTATTATTATTATTATTATTAACAAGGTATACAAATAAGTACTCGAGGAGAAACCCCTTATGAATTTATGATCCATGTTAGATCAATGATAAAAGCGATGATAAGGACTGGAATGCATAAATTCGATGACGTATAAAACAGATAGAGTTCGAAATGTTTGTTGGCAGGATAAGAACATCAAATTTCATAACCAAACCCTATTTTCCATGTACGGTGAAGGAGAAAGGTGATACAAATCAAACAAAACAAGAGTTGGAATGAAGAAAAAAGATTAATAGATAATAATCAATCTAATTAGGCAGGATTAGAAAGTGATTTTACTTGAGACATGGCGAGTGGCGACGGCTGGAGGAGAAATTCGTCGAATCGGCCGTAAAAAAGCAGACGAGATCCGGAGAGAGGCGAGAAGCGAAGTGTTTGTGTTTGTGATAAACCAGCCAACTACTGAACGGACTCAACCAGGGCCGGGGATCAGGGACCCAGGGTGTGAAGTATATTTGAAGCCCAATTTTGCTATGGAAAAGCCCGGCACCCAATCATAAGTTCAGACGAGTAAAAAAAAATGCCTTCAGCCCTAACGTATAACGTATTAAAATACATAAACTATATTTTTAAACGACGATGGATTTCATGTAGGCCCCCATTTGTTGTTGGAATTGAGCTTGTCTATGCATTTGCAACTCAACTTCAGTTTGTCTTCTTTCCATCTCATTTCTTATATCCATTTTTCCATTCTAACAACTTGTTATTGAAACTTTTGTACCTAAAAAATGATAATACAAACATATATAATTAGTTAATCTAACAATATAACCCTTATTATACATTTAATTTTACTAAAATCGGAAGGGATGATATATTAAGATTGATTTATGTAATTCAACAAAGCATGGAAGTTGAATGATCACTTCATTAGTTTTGCTTAAAAAGATAACCTAATAATATCACCGGAATAAATTGTAGACTAGAAACAATTGTGAAAAAATTTATTATTTGCCAAATTTACACCTAGAAACTCAAAAAAAAATAGTTTTAAAAATACAAACAAGTTTGATAATTACCTTCACAAGGCTTGTAACCAGATCAAACATACTTTTTTTATTGAATTTTCATATCATATGAAGTTGCACATTTTTAAGGAAATGCAAATGTAAAAGAAAGACCCTACTATAAAGCAATAAGAAAGGAATGCAAATAATGGTTTTATTGTTTACTTGAATGAATATCACGAGAGTATACATGTATATTTATATTTGTATATATAGCTAATCTAGGAGATAAAAACGGAAGGTTACAACAAGCTTTGAATATGTAAAATACATTTGAATTTGAATATCTAAAGGATAATATCAGATTGGCGGGTTATATCTTAATATGCCCCCGCAAGATGGACGATCCTGAGATGAGACCAATCTTGGATAGCAAATAGTGAAAACGTGGTCTTAAGAGGGGTTTGGTTAGAGCATCAGCTAACTGGTCATTTCCTGCAATATGTTGAACTCGTAAGGTGCCTTGTTGAACTTTCTCTCTCACGAAATGAAAATCTAAAGAAAGATGTTTCATTCGAGAGTGGAAAACTAGATTGGCAGAATATGAAGTTGCACTTAAATTGTAGCAATAAATGGTTAGGGTGGTACTTGATTGGAAACCAAGTTCGCTGAGGAGAGATGTAAGCCATTGAACTTCAGTGGTGGTGGAGGCGACAACCCTGAATTCAGCCTCTGTTGAGCTTCTTGCAAGGGTGCTTTGTCTATTTGAGCTCTCATACCATATAAAGCAATAAGAAAGGAATGAAAATAATGGTTTTATTGATTGCTTGAATGAATATCACAAGAGTATACATGTATATTTATATTTGTATATACAGGTAATCTAGGAGATAAAAACAGAAGGTTACAACAAGCTTTGAATATGTAAAATACTTTTGAATTTGAATATCTAAAGGATAATATCAGATTGGCGGGTTATATCTTAATACCTATAACTTAATACACAAAGTTAAAATAGGACGTCTAGTTTATGCTATAAGTTAAAAATCAGTGAACATATATCACTACTTTCACGCCATGAAAATAAAAAAGCTGTGTTTCATCATATTCAATACAAATAAACTGGAACTATTAGCATCCATGACTTCATTAGAAACAAAGGATAACTAGTAAAATCATAATGGTTTGGCAAGTTTTACATCAAAAAAACCAAAAAAAGGCAGTCAAATGACACGTTTTGAACATGATACTTTTTTAAACAACATACCATTGAGCCCATTTATAATTCTTACTTCAAATACGAACATATTAAAGTAAGAGCCATTATACAACTTTGCTTCAGAATTTCAACATGAAGTCATTCAAATAGATGTCAACATGAATTTAAACAGAATCTCAACATTCAATTAGATAATCATTTTAAGATTTCAGATTATAATCACAATTTTCAACATTCAATCATATAATCAGATTTCAACGTGAATTTCAACATAATTTCAACATTCAATTAGATAAACAACATTCAATTAGATTTCATAAGTCATAAGTCATAACTATAATATGAATTCTAATAAACTAATAAATTCAACAGTTTGATTTGTGATTTCTATAATGATTCAAGTTCAACATTGAATTATAACCTATTAAAACGGAATAACTTATGATAATCGATTACCTGATAAAACTATAAACCGATAATGACTCATGATTCAAATGAGTAATTGAACCTACCCTAAACCCTTCACCCTTGCAGTCGCTGAAGCCTGAATGGCAAGATGATCGGCGATCACTTCTCTTCTGCTGCGTTTTGCTAATCTGCAATGACGTTGAATTCTTCTCGCGTGTGGACTACAAGAACGATGAGATATTGAGAGTATTGGTTGAAACTGATTTGAATATAGTTAAAAAAAATTAGGCCCCTTTAAAAAATGGGTCATGTACACAAATCCCTCTTGCCCTCCTTTATCACCGGCCTTGCATAAGTTCATACTTCATAACATCCAAAGTCTGATCCAATCACATTTTGCAATACTTTTTAAATCATCTTATTTATGATTGAATCATTTTAGTTCATCACTTGTTGAAATCTATAATTAATTTGATCAACCGGTAATAAGTAACAAGTAACATATCGGTTTCGTGTTGGCATTTGACTATGTTATAAACTGAAATTTCATATTTTTACGCTTCTGAGCTTATAAAAAGTATTCAATATTGCGGAGTATTTTACACAGATCATAATCCCGTTTTTCTGACTTGATTAAGAGTTTGTTTAATTAGGTTAGTAAAAAGTTAGGATTAACTGAAGAGCTTGTTTTGGTGAATTAACTAGGTAAAAGAGAACTTACTACAACTTGTTAGTAGTTTTCAGTACCAACTTTGATAGAACACATCTTAAATAACAAGATCTAGATTGATTACATAATTAAGAAAGTCATAGTAGAACTGAAACGTTTTTTATTACCGAATTTCATTTATTTTATTTCACTGCAATTTCTAGTTTTAATTAATAAACAAAAATCCTCCTTTTATTATTTTCTACATTTGACTAGTATGTATCTTACGCAAAGAGGCATTGACTTTTACCCATTAGTGCAACCAAACAGTGAAATTATTATTTGTTTAAGACGTCTATGACAATGTTTTAACAAATTGGCGTCGTTGTCGGGGACATGGTACTACTAATAGTTTTATGCCAAGATCTTTACATATAGGTACACCATTAGTCTTAAATCCAGAAATTAGAAAACCGCAAAAAAGTTGAAGAAGCAAGCTAAACTTCAGAAGTAACAAATGAATTTCTCAACTTGATCATCCTCCTTACTGCCAGAAATCACCGTTTCATCATTCCCAAAAGCACCACCGTCTTCACCTTCTCAAATTCCAGTTAAAACATACTCTCCAGCACCTTCTAAAGAATCCAAAACTAAAGACCCTTCTGAATCTGATTTTGATAAATCAGCCATGAATGCCGAAGAGGGCGAAGAGAAAACTCTCAGATAGCGGGCCATGCAAGAGGTCACTCAACAACCTCTCTGCATTACCTTTCCTGAAGCCCAAAACATCGAACTCAAATATGGGTTAATTCATCTCCTTCCCACTTTCAGATTCCTTGAAAATGAAGACCCACATAAATTCCTCAAGGAATTTCATGTGGTATGTTCAGGAATGAAGTCGCATGCCATCACTAAGGACCATATAAAACTAAGGGCATTCCCCTTTTCAGTACAAGATACAACAAAAGAGTGACTATATGATCTTCCATCCGGCTCCATAACCACGTGGAACATGCTTGCAAAACTATTTTTAGAGAAATATTTTCCAGAAGTGCGAGTATCAAACCTTCGCAGAGAGATCCTTAGTATCAAACAAGAAAAAAAGAGACTTTACACACATACTAGGAGCGCTTCAAAAAAGTGCTTGTTCGGTGCCCACAATACGAAATCAATGATTACCAGCTTTATCAGTGTTTTTGTGAAGGCCTAACACCCATGAGACGAAGGTTGATAAATGCTTCCAGTGGCAGATCCCTAAGTGACATGACACCAACCAAAATCCGAGAATTGATAGAAAAACTCGTCATTGAGTCGAAACATTTAGGGAATGAAGACGAATGGTATGATGATCAACCGCGAGGGTTTAGAGAAATAAATTCCTCACTTAGAAGCTCAGATTTATGAACTGAAAAAGCAGTTTTGCTGCTGACAAAAGAAAAAAGAATAATATCTGTGAAAAACGGTGTGGAATCTACCTGAAGACTGAATATTCAACTTATATGTGTCGACTACTACAGGAGGATGTAACTGCATTAAAAGTTTTCAGAGGCTATCAACGGAATTTTCAGAATAACTTCCAGCAACAACAACAATATCATAATCCGCCTGGATTCCAACGGCAGCGAAATTTCCAGTAGCAACCAGGTTTTCAACAACATCAAAATTTCTAACAGCATCCACTACTACAAAATAACACATAGAATACTGTTAAAATGACATATAGAATACGGTTTTGCAGCCGTACTCTATAAGGGGGGTTTCCTATTCGAACATGTAATACAATACGGTTGTAAAACCGTACTCTATAATCATCATATAGTACGGTTTTCTAGATAATACAATACGTTGCAAAACCGTACTCTATAATCATCATAAAGTACAGTTTTTTAGATAATGCAGTACGGTTGCAAACCAGTACTCTATAATCATTATAAAATACGGTTTTACGGTTTTTTAAAAGTATCCTTATTCTTTAACGAAACACATTGAATACTGTTTTTTCAATGTAACCGTACTCCTTATAAAATATCATAAAGTATAGTTTCTTATTGCCAAAGGACATTCTAAATAAATATATTTCATAAATTAAATACAATAATTACACTTTTCTATAAAGAAAACATGCCTATAAATAATTTATACACACAAACATTTCATGAACAAACATAATGTATATAAAAGTCAAAACAAAAGCATGATTAGTCATTAATTTCTAAAATTAACAATATCCAATTCAAACATGATTTGCAATAAACCTAATTTGTCCATCCTAATCAACGAAAAATTAAATATATAAAAAGACAAATAGATCCATTCGGTAGATGTCAAACTCCATAATTGCAGCCACATACCTGCGACATAAGACAAGAAAAGAAACTAAAAGTTGCAACTAATGGAAAAAAGGGAACATATAGTTGTGATGAGAAGAAAAAACTGAGTTAATTGCAGGAAATAGCAACATAGTTTCATTTATTTGTTTATTAAGACATCCGACTACCATTTCTTCCTATTGATATACATTGAGAGATATATCCCATAATAGAGAGATCCTCCAAATTCAATGTATTTTTTACAATATATATTTTTCGTAGTTTAATGTCCTAATAAGATAAAGATATGAAAGTATGATGCTACAGTAGGTTCATATTTTAAAGTACAATGTCTTGATGAGTTTTTTTAGTTACAATGTTGTATAAAATGAAATGCAAGTGTAGTGTTATAATAATCAAGTACATTAAAGTAAAATGCTATAATAAACAATTAGGTAAGAATAACTAACCTTTCAAAGGGGCACTTGACTCAAATACTTACTCTCAAACCTTGAACTCCACATAACGATGATTTCATTTAACACCCAATCCGGAAACGGTTTTTTATCGTTCCAGTTGTTCTATATATAAATTAAAAAATAATTTATAATTTAATAATGAATTTTTTACATATTAGATAAATTGCACAAATATTTTAAGATACTTACTTTGTTTGGGAATTCATTTTGTTGAGTCAACACGAACTCAAACATCCATCTCATGACGTAAAAACCGCACTCCCAACTTGATGGTTGTTGGTTGCACTACAAATATGAACAATAAAGGATTAGAGAACTTTTACTTTGAAACTAGGGTTTTGATCTGATGATGGAACAAGTTCTGTGTTCCAGGTATCAGTTTTTAATAAAAAAATTAACAAGAAGCAAGTTCAAGGTACCCATGAAGTACTTTTACCTCGACAAGTGTCCATTTCATTGGATGTGTTGTGTCGATAGCTTCCTTAAGCCTTGCAACAGCCCTAAAATGAAGATCAGAAAAAAAATTTAAAAAAGCCATAGAAAGAAATAACAGTCAGAAATACAAAAAGATTTCTTACTCTTCGACATATTTCACGACTATGTAGTTCTCCACGGGCTTCTCATCCGGATTTTTTTGGGAATTCAAGATATACCCTGTGCCTTGGTTAGGGCAGATTACTAGCAGCATCTAATGCAATCTAGTAATGTTAATACGTTTTAGTATACACAATAAAGAAATAAAGCCAATAAAAATCAAAGCAGTAAGATTTAATACCCTTGCCAATAGGGTGCGACAAAAAAATGTTTGTCTTTATGGAAGCCCATTGCATCAACAATGTAACTTACAACATCCTCACCATTTGACTCGCATATTGTTGCCTGAATCTCACTCGGGGAAATGAAAGCACATCTGTTCACTTTATTCCCACCACGTGTTTCAAGCATTGAATGTAACATGCTATAAACCAGAAAATATACATTATAAATGTAAATACTATAAACGAAAATAATTTAAACATTGTTGTTTGTACTTACATTTGAAACCATGTTATGACACTAATATCAAGCCATTGTTTATTCAACAGACGTAAAATCTCCTCGGGGTAAATGTATGTTTCAATTTTCTGAGCTCCAAGGATCCCGGGTTCGGCTTCAACATAAATCGCATCATCAGGAGCATCACGATTCATCAAACGTCTATATATTCTTTTCATGAGAAGGGGCATTTTTTCTAGGTCGACTTGCTTATTAGAATTATGTGGTATCAAACTTTCCTTTGCTGGCTTAGTCTTCTTCATAACACCCTTCGAGATTACTGGCACACTCTTGGTTATGCGAGGTTGCTTTGTTTTTGTACAAACATTAAAAAACTGTTTGATTATCACATATTGGTACAATTTAACATATACATATAATAACTAATAAGGTTGGAGAAATTACCGGGTCGACAGCTACCGGTAGAAAGGAACATCTTTTATCTTGTTCAACATTTGGCTTGAACTGTGAGGACTGTTCACAAGTTAGATGTGTGCACAACTATTTATTACTCTAATTCTAAACAAAGTTAATGATAATTCTATGTACCTGAATGATCTTAATTGCATTCCTTGGCCACTCAACTATACCATGAAGCGCCTCACACATCTTACTTGCTTCTTCGGTCGAGACGGGAAGAGGGATACAATCATATTGGTCATAGATCTTGTCTATGGATACCCTCAAATGATTTGCATTTAAAGGAACTGAATGTATTTGTCCATTCCCATATGGAAAGACCATCCCTTTTGCACATTTCTGGTTCATCGCGTCGTATGGTATCACTAACTCGCAAGCAGTAGGAGTCTACAAACATATAATGTATATGTTAATATATGATCAAATATCTTGTATATAAGAAAAAAAACACATGATTACCTTTATCCCATCCAACTAATCTGATACAGTCGAGACGACACTATTTTTCTTCAACAACGGACTGGTAATGTGTATGCCTTCATTCTTTGAGAGAAACTGTTGCATATATGTTTTCATCTCTTCCATCTGAGCATTCATCTCTTCTATCTTGGCTTCCATTTTGGCCTCCATCATAGCCTCCACCTCCACCTCGATCTTCATCTTCTCCTTAATATCTTCCAAGTTATATTTATCATGGCTCTTCCCTTTTTTCTTATCAACCCTAGGCATGGATTGTCTCAAGCCAACGTTGTGCCCAACAGCCCTCGTACGACCTGGATGCTCGGGTCCTAACACCTCTGTAAGCACATCGGCTCCAGGTCCAGGAAACCAATCTCCATGAGATAATTGGGTATCCTTTTCAATCTGTTAATCCAAATAAAATTGCAAGGGTAATTAAATCCTAAATAGTTTTAAAATAAATGATAACATTACAGAATGAATACTTAACTTACCAATTCAGATGCCAAGGAGTAGAGATCAGTAGGTAACGAGTATATCCCTGTGGGATCACGTTTTAACCTAGCAAGGATAAAATTCCTTGCACGTTCACTTCTTATATTATGGAACTCCGTTGACTCACCAGACTCCATCTCTTTTTCCCATTGATGTTTCATACCACGATAACCACGTGGGCCTATCCGAGGCGGATACTTGTTCAACTTTGCAGTCGTTGTAGCTTTGTTGCTTATTTCCTGGAAAGAAGTAAGTAGCAGAATTAGAAACATTGCAATATACTATTATCATATAAAGAGGGCTAAAGTGAGCCAAACCTGGAAGCTCGGTGATGTTTTGAGTTGAACAAAAGCGTTCCATGTAGGCTCATCTAGGTATGGATATTCAGGTACCAGATTTCTACCCTTCTTTAGGTAGTCATTAACAAGCCTGCTCTTGTAAGCCTTCCATGATTGATTGCAAATTTTTAGTACCTGTTTTTTGTGCCTATCATCTTCTATATTCCAATGTTTCTGTTTTTTTAACAATAAAGTACAATAAATATTAGTAATATATATATATATATATATATATATATATATATATATATGTATGAATGTATGAATTAAATGAAAGTACAATTAACAGGCTCACAAAAATACCTTTGTGTTTAACCACAATTCATCGATTTCAGCCTTAGGAACTTCATCCCAACACAATATGAGGATAGAAATCCTCGTCCTTACCATGACTCCACAATAATTGCTAAACTGAGATTGGGTCTCTCCGATATTTTGGCCTAGCTCATCAAATTCAATTTCCAAATCCCCTTTGTTTTTCAGGTTTCCCCTTATCAGTGTCACACTTCTTTTTTTCCTTTGTGGTTGATCCATTGTATGCCTACAAAACCAAGTAACATAATTTCAGATATACATATTAAGGAAGTTGTTGTTAATGTGTATTAATGTGAAGAAGAAGGTGGTTCAGAAGTTTAAATAAGTGTTTGATGATAATTGTTGGCTTCTTCAAATTGAGAAGTCGATGTGCTGACTTCAGTTTATTCTCCTTTATCGAGCTCTGATAAACAAACATCAAATTCTAATCCATCTTTGAAGTCTATCCGGTCGAACCAGAATACCAATTTTCAGTTATATTTCCAATAACAAAATACTAATGCCCTAACTTAAAAGTAATGAGTTACAATTTGTTATATGTACAGAAACCAGGAAAGAAAAGAACTTGAAAAAGTTTGATACTATCACACTAATTTGTGCCTGTATCTTGGGTTTCGTTCACGAACGGGGGGAAAATGATGATTAGAAGAATTACCTGTTAAATGTTCTCACAATACGATTGAACTGCTCTCTGCTTTTGTCACAGTGGTTTGCTCTTCGATGCTCTCACAGAATTTTCTTTGATATCTATGGTCTCCCCGTCAACTGCATTCTCAAGCCTTAAACCCTAAAATTGAATATAGCGGGGAAAAATACGCGCCTAAAATTGCTCCTACCATGATCTAATGGATCATGGGTTACTGATTTCTCGAAAATTAGTAGCATATTCCACAAAATTTTGCTCCACATATTCCACAAAATTTTGATCATGGAGCAACTGGAACTCAACCCTTTTTCCTGTATGTCTATTGAAAAGCAAAATTGTGATTTGTGATTTAATAATATGTGAGTACCTTTGGCATATAAACCCTCGGTTAACTCATAAAGGTGTTAATGATTATGATTATAAAACTAATATATATCCGTATCAATAAGTATAAGTTTTTTTTAAATAACCAAATAATCTTATATTACATCTATAAATATCAATATTATAAACATATAGATACATACATATCTAGGGCTGTTAATCGGTCAACCCGAACGGGTTTCAGGTTAAAAGGGTCGGGTAAGTCGGGTTTTCACAAAAAAATATTTTAACCCAAAACCCGACTCTATTAAGGACAGGTATGGGTTAATCGGGTTCGGGTTAATCGGGTATCAGGTTAATAGGGTCGGGTTACCCGGGTTAGTCGGGTTAATACATTAAGAACTTAATTTGGACATATTTAAAAGATTAATCGGGTTCGGGTTTTTTTGACACCCCTATACATATCTTTTGACACCCCTATCCATATCTACATGCATACACATAAATAAATATAACATTTATAAAGCACATTGTTAACGTAACTTTACTAAAGTGCAATGAAAATCTTATAATATTTAAACCAAAAATACTAGAATTATTTATAACTTACCAAAATTCTCAAAATAATTTGAATCATATTCACGCGTCTTCCATTATTTTCCGCTTTAATGTCTTTTGTCAGGGCGTGTTACTGCAAAATACTAATTGTAATAATAGTTATTATAAAGTACTAAAATTTTATAATCAATTTTTTTAGTTTCACGACAGATAAATAGTTTATTACCTTTCTTGCTTTCCGTTTCCGTTTTTTTGCAATCCATAATCCTTCATTGTGATCTGCTCTTAAATAAGCAGTATCATCAATATTGATATTTGTAGATGGGATACCAATAGAAAATGGGGGTAGCTCGTCAAACTGATTGTATTCTTCCTCGTCCACTACATTTTCAATGGCAACTATACGTCGTTTACCATGCAAGACAATGTGTCATGTTGAATCTTTTGGGTCCCTCCACGAAGAATACCTGGGTAGCTTGTTTTGCTAGAATGAATGGTTCAGATGCATAACCATCTGTGGAAAGATCAACAAGTGTGAAACCGTCGTTGTCAATTTTAACACCTTGTCGATTGTCGACCCATTTACACTTCAACATTGCTATAGCGAAGGAATTATAATTCAATTCCCAAATTTCTTGGATGACACCATAATAAGAATTTTTAGCAATCCTCGACCTTGTTTCATGGTTTGTGCTATAAAATTCTGTCGATGATGCTATTAGCGTCACCCCGCTATTTTGATGCGTACTTTTATCATCTTGCTTCTTAGTATAAAATGTATACCCATTAATGTCATAGCCTTGGTATGTTGCAACAACATGTTGTGGGCCGTTCCCCAACTCCACTACTAATGGATCCATGTTTTCTCCCCCATAACTTTGTTTCACCTTGTCTTTCAACCATTGTGAAAAAGTTTTATTATGCTCAGTGGTCAACCATCTATCACTCTTATTTTTATTTTTTTCTTTTAACAGTAACTTGTGCTCATTTATGTATGAAGCAACCACTGTCATGTGTTGTAAGACTGTAAAATGTGCAATGTGGAAACTATTTCTGTCTGGAACTACCATTTTCAATCCAACTGTCCCAACCCCTTCAAGTCTTCCCTCGTGTCGAGAATGTGGAACCCCTATACTTTTCACACCTTTTAAATAGCTTGTACAAAACTCAATTACCTCTTCTGTGGCATATCCTTCAACAATACTGCCTTCTGGTCGATGTCGGTTCCTTACATACCCTTTTAAGAAACCCATATATCTCTCGAATGGATACATGTGTCGTAAGAATATCGGACCACAAGCCTTAATTTCTCTTACAAGATGGGATATTAGATGAACCATGATATCAAAAAAGGAAGGTGGAAAATATATCTCGAGTTGGCAGAGAGTGATGATAATATCACGTTGCCATGAATCTAACACCTCGGGGTTAATCACTTTCGAATGAATCATGTTAAAAAATAAACAGAGCTTTGTGATTGCATGTCGGACACCGTCTGGCATTATTCCACGAATTGCAATGGGAATCATATGTGTCAACAGAACATGACAATCATGAGACTTCATACCAAGCAATTTCAAGTCTTTCATCGACACCAACTTCTTAATGTTAGCAGAATAGCCGGATGGGACTTTCACCCCGTGCAAACATTTACAAAATTTGGTCTTCTCGGCCTTAGACATGGTATAACAAGTTTGTGGTAGATACGTACGCTTTCCATCACTCTTAACAGGTGCAAGTTCCGACCAAATTCCCATTTCGACCAAGTCTTCTCGAACTTTGATACCATCCTTCGTTTTCCAAGGAATATTCAATAACAAGCCTATCAAACTTTCAAAAACATTTTTCCCAATATGCATCGGATCAAGACAATGTCGGACTTCCAGGTGCTTCCAATATGGCAACTCCCAAAAAATAGACCTCTTCTTCAAATATTTTTTTGGAGGTTTCTTACAACACTTTCCAAACATAATGTTCAAGTCATTAACTCGTGATAATACATCTTCTCCCTTCTTTGCTGGTCTTGTCACTCTGTCTTCAATTTTACCATCGAACAAATGTTTTTGTGTACGATACACATGTTTTACTGGAAGGGACCTTCTATGACCCATGAATACATTCTTCTTACAATTTGTTAACCATAATGAGCATGTGTCATCTTCACAAATAGGACATGCCTTTCCTCCTTTTGTAGTATATCCTGACAAGTTTCCATATGCTGGAAAATCACTTATGGTGCAATAAATCATCGCTCGAAGTTGGAAAAATTCCTTCATGTAGGCATCATATACTTCTACGCCCGAGTTCCATAATTCCTTCATATCATCAATTAATGGAGCCAAATACACATCAATATCGTTCCTAGGTTGCTTCGGACCTTGAATTAGCAAAGTCATCATGATATATTTTCGTTTCATGCATAACCAAGGTGGAAGATTGTAGATGCATAAAAGTACCGGCCATGTGCTATGGCGACTACTCATGCTTCCGAATGGATTAATTCCGTCTGAACTAAGTCCAAACCTAATATTTCTAATCTCCCTACCAAATTCTTCAAAATTAGAATCAATATTCCTCCATTGTGGTGAATCAGCAACATGTCTCATATTTTCGTCTATTGTACGATCTTCAGCATGCCAACGTAATAGTTTGGCTTCTTTGGCATTCGTAAATAACCGTTTAAGTCTTGGTATGATAGGAAAATACCACAATAATTTAGCAGGGGGGCCATTCTTTGTCACATCACTATTTTTTTCTGTTTCGCTTTCTCGCTTATACCGCGATGTTCCACATGTAACACATTCATGTAGGTCAACATACTCGTTTCTATAAAGGATACAATCGTTTGGACATGCATGTATTCTTTCAATTTCCAAGCCCATTGGGCACACCAGTTTCTTCGCTTGATATAATGAAATAGGTAACTCATTTTCTTCGGGAAGCATTTCATGCAATATCTCTAATAGGCTTGTGAAACTCTTATCACTCCAACCATTGTTTGCTTTTAAGTTAAGCAACTTTAGCACAGCTGAAAGTTTGGTAAATTTTATACATCCAACATACAATGGTTTTTCAGAGACTTCAAACAATTGTTGGAATTTTTGATGATCTTTTTCCGCAACATTATCCTCCAGATCATGCAACATGTCATCTAAACCATCACAACTCTCATTATCCAAATGATCACCAGCCTCATCATGACTACACTCTGGAGCAGTTGTATCATGATCAATTAACAGTTCACCATGTCGTGACCATCGTGTGTACCCACTCATAAACCCCTCACATATTAGATGTTCTTGTATTATTGTAGAATCATTAAACTTATGACAATTTTGACACTTTTCACAAGGACACCAGATGTGACTTTCTCCTTTATTCTTCCGATCATCCTCAGCTACTTTAAGAAAATCAAGCAAACTTGCCAAATATTTTTTGCTAGCACGTGGTATTTCATACATCCAAGTATTACGATCCATCTGGAATTTAAATAATAAATTAACAAGCAATATGATGCATGCATAATATACAAAATGTTATTCCAAGTGGCAAAAATGCTAACCCACTTTTTTAATATTTTTTTGTCTATGTAAAGATGCAGTAAGATATTGACTACTTAAGAAGAAACAAACAACATTTCCTTTAACTCTCCATATTTGACTAAAATAATCAACTGTATCTTACATGACTTTATTCTCATTTATTTAATTCGAATTGCATCCTATAAACCATGTCCATTTTAATAGGTTATTATGTAGTGGAATACATAACTAAATAAAAAACAATGATATCATATATATTATTATTATTATTAGTAAAAAACAAAATAAATTAAACAAATACAAAAATGCTTCCTGAAAATAGGGGTAAAATAATCTCACTGTTTTTATTTTTATTTATATTTTAAATTATAATCTCTTCTTAATATTAATATATGATTTTTTTACTTATAATATATTATACTAGGCCTTCTGGAGTACCGACAACGAACCTGGTCGTCGTCTAGCTAGCTACTAACCACGAATATGAACACCACCTTGATCCTATCATTGTGTTGACCTGGAGCCACAATTGTGGTCTCTCGTGCTTCCCACCACAACCAATCTTCTTCTCTATTCCTCTCTTCTTCTCTGTTGCAGGTGAAATCGACCACCACCACAATCACAGTGTGATGAGTATACCAATTTTGTTATGGAAGGAAGGTGGAAGACGATGATGCTAAGATGGTGGTGGGGGTGATGGTGGCGTGTAATGGTGGTGGGTAGTGGTGATGGGTGGTGGTGGTGGGTGATGGTAAGGTGGGTGGCAGTGGTGGTTGGCGGGTGGTGGTTGCATGTGGTGGTGGTGGTGTTTTCAATGGGTGATGGGTGGTGGTATCAATGGCTGATGGGTGGTGGTATCAATGGGTGATGGGTGGTGGTAGTGGTGGTGATGGATGATGGATGCGGGTGGTGGGTGGCTGGTGGTAATGGCGGTGGTGGGTGGTGGTAGTGGTGGTGGTGGTAATGGTGGTGGGGGTAGTGGTGGTGGGTAGTGGAGGTGGGTGATGGTGATGGGTGGTGGTGGAGGAGAGTTATGGTGATGAGTAGTGGAGGCGTGTGGTGGTGATGGATGGTGGGTGGTGGTTGGTGGTAGTGGAGGGTGTTGGTAATGGTGGTGGGTGGTGGTTGTTTTGATGTGTGATGGGTGGGGTGGTGGTGGCGGGTAGTAGTGATAGGTGGTGAGTGGTGTAGGTTAGTGGTGGGTAGTAGGTGGTGGTGGTGGTGTATGGTAGTTTTGGTGGGTGATGAGTCTAGTGGTGGCGATGGGCGATGGAGGTGGGTGGTGATCGGTGGTCGGTAGTGATGGTGGTAGGTGGTGGTGGTAGGTGGTGGTGATGGATGGTGGGTGGTGGTGGTGGATGGTGGGTGGTGGTGAGGTGGTGGTGGGGGTGGGTGGTGGGTGGGGGTGGTGGGTGGGTGGTGGAGGCGGGTGGTCGGTGGTGGTAGTGGCGGCTGGTGGTCATAATGATGGGGGGTGGTAGTGATGGGTGGTGGAGGTGGGTGGGTAGTGGTTGTGGTGGGTGGTGGGGGTGGTGGGTGGTGGTGGAAGGTAGTGGTGGTGGTGGTGGCGGGTGGTGGTGTCGGTGGTGATGGGTGATGGATGATGGTTGTGGTTGACGGTAGCAGGGGTTGATGATGGTGGTGGGTGGTGCTGGTGATGGTTGGTGGTGGTGGTGGTGGGTGGTGAGTGGTGTTGGTTAGTAGGATTTTAATTTTTTTACTTATTTTTTATTTATATTAAAATTATTTGATGATTTTAATTTAAAAAATTATTATGGTCAAAATTGTTTTCATATATATATATATATATATATATATATATATATATATATATATATATAATCAGTTAATTGAAACTTTATAATTTTTAAGATCTTTTATATATATTTTAATTATTTATTTATAAATAAAAAGAGTAAGCTTAATAAAATCTATACAAATAATTAGATAGTGTCTTGTATATTCATCGTATTAATATATATTTTAAAGAATTATTTAATAATTAGTTGTACTTGTAATATAATAATAAGAATAAAATCAAAATTATATTATTTAATTAATAAAACTATTTTTTTAGATATATCAATTAAAAAAAGGATCAAATAAATATAAATAGTTATGTCGTGATTGTGTTATATCAATTAAAAAAAGGATCAAATAAATATAAATAGTTATGTCGTGAGTGTGTTTCCATATATATTAATATTAATATTAATATTTAAATATATAAAGTCATAAAATAAAATATAACAAAGGGTTACATATGATATCTAAGGAGGGTACAATCAGCGGCAAACAGAGGAGTGAAACAGATTGTTCATTGCACAATTAAGAACTTTTGACAGCTAGCATTTAAGAACTTTTCTTATATAAAAATAATAATAACCTCTTCATCTACAAAAGGAACCGATTGTTCATTGCACAATTAAACGGAGAAGAAGTAAAGCAAAACAGAGTCAAGATGTGAGAGTTAGACAGCATATATACATACATCGATTCGAGAGGGAGATACCTTAAGAGAGTTCTGACTAGCGACGGAAGATGGTTTCGTTGAGCGAGTGACTGCCGACCTCTTGGTGGTGACCGGAAACGTCCAACTGTTAGTGTTTTATAGTTTATGACTTTTCTTTTATGCTCTGTCTGTCTAATTTCTATATATATATATATATATATATATATATATATATATATATATATATATATATATATTCTCTAAGGAATCCAACGGTATGATTTTTTTAGTTTAGAATTTTCAAATTTTAATTTGTATCTTTAATCATATTAACAGGTAGGCGAAAAACATGGTGATATATAGACTTCGATCAACGTTTTTTGGCTTGATTAATGCTGATTTAGGGGTTGTTTGATATTGATGCTAACCCAGTCAGAAAGGAGGACTCGGTCCTCAATCAGAAGCTGTTGTATTTGATTTATCGACAGACTCGGTCCAAAGAAATCTGAGGATTCGGTCCTCATCTCAAAACCTCCTGACCGAGACAAAGCATCATCTTTTCCTTCCTTGCCCTTCTCCTTCTTTTGTAGGCGCCTTCTTCTCCATCGCGTATACGCATCGACTTCCACTTCACCAGCGATATCGTGAACATCGACTTCCACTTCAACGCAGCATGGTAGCGACTACGAACTCCGAAATCAGATAACTTTAAGCTTTTTTTCTTGTAAATGCTATTCGAAATCAGATAACTTATAATGTTCGGATCTGTTATCTATACATGGAATCTGTTTCTTGCAAAATAAATTTGAAAGCGACATTGAATCTGATTTGAACCTGTTTTGTGATCTTTCTCTTAGTGGTTATATGATGTAGACAATTTTTTGTATCACCTGTTTGTGATTAGTTCGAATATGTATTTTGTACATGGAATTTGTTCGTGTTTATGGAGTATTTAATGTTGATTGTTGAATCTGGTGCAATACCTTGCTCTTCCCTCATGCCCTGTTGCTTTTTTGTACAACTTGTTTCATATTTTGACCATTTTGTCCTTGGTACCAGTTTGGAAACTCATATGGTGCAGTTTAGTAGTGCAGGAGTGCAGGGGTATGTTTTGTTTCATCTTTTGACCATCTTGAATGGTCTTGAAAAGGAATAAGTAGTGTAGGGGTATGTTTTGTTTCATCTTTTGACCATCTTGAATGGTCTTGAAAAGGAATAAGTAGTGTAGGGGTATGTTGGTCATGATTTTGTCCTTTAGTTTCATTCTAGGCCTTTTAATTTTCCATCATTTTTACTAATTAATTCATGCATCTAATGTAGGGGAAGATCTTGGAGGATTTAGAGGCACAATTACAAGTTGCTACATCATCAATTGATCCATCTTGCAGTGGGTGGTTAAGGCTATTGTCCATCTTTATTGCATGATTTCATTTTCATAATACATTGACTGGTTTGTATTAAATTTGATTTTAACTTTTGTGTTAACTTTGAATGGTTTGTATTCATAAAGATTGTTACTTTTTTTGTATTGAGGAAACAAAAAAAATTAAAGATGTTTAGGTTTTTGGATCAAACAACAACCTGAAAATATGCTTGTTTTTTTAGGGATGCGTTAGAGACCAAGAGGGCAGAATAGGTATATTGGTGAAAATATGGTTTAGTTTTTTCTTCACTCGTCTCTTTATCAATTTTCATTGAAAAAACTAACAAAAACCAATGAAAATAACATTGTTAGTTTTTTCTTCAGTCGTCTCTTTATCAATTTTCATTGTTAGTTTTTTCTAGGATTGAAAAAACAACCTTTGGATCAGCAATCTAGAAGCTGCAGTGTGGCCTTGGAAGACATCGTAAAAATCTTATCCACTAGCACTCATGCGTTCTAGAACGAAACCAGAGCGAGTATAAAAAATCTAGAGCAACAAATGTCTCAACTTGCTACTTCTGTGAGTCGACTGGAGTCTCAAGGTAAATTATCGGGGCAAACTGAAAATAACAAGAGAAACATTACGTGAGTGCAATTACCTTGAGGATTGGTAAAGTTTATGAAGGCTAAAGCGAACCGAAAAAAGAAAAGGAAGAAAACATGGCTGAAGATAAGCTTGGGGAAAAGGTTATAGAAGAAAAAGAAGCTGAAAAAGATGAAGAGAAGGAAACTCCAAGACCAACAAAGCCGATCCTGAAGGAGTAAAAACCAGTTCCACCATTCCCGTCACAACTGAAGAGCACGAAGCGCGAACGAGAGGATAAGAAAATCATGGACAACTTTCGTAAGGTGGAGGTAAATATTCCACTTTTAGATGTTATTAAACAAATTCATCGTTACACTAAGTTTTTAAAAGAATGATGTGTTTCAAAGAAAAAGTTAAAAATTAACGAAACCATGAAAGCTGGTGAAAATATTTCTGCAATTTTACAGAAAGGTTTACCTCCAAAGTGCAGGAATCCATGATTTTTATCGATTCCTTGTAAATTGGGAAGCCTAACTTTTCCAAAAGTCATGCTTGATTTAAGTGCTTCAGTCAATTTCCTCCCACTTTTTGTTTTTGAAAAATAAAAATTGGGACCTTTAAAAAAGACCGAAACTATCATTTAGTTGGTTGACCGCTCAACAGTACACCCAAAAGGTGTATTGGAGGATGTTCTAGTCCAAGTGAATGAGTTAATTTTTCCCGCTGATTTTTATATTCTAGACAAGGGAATGTGGATGTTTTTATAAAACTCAATTATTTTAGGAAGATCTTTTATGAAAATTGTTAAAACCAAAGTTGATGTCTTTGTTGATACACTTTCAATTGAGTCTGATGGTGATGTGGTTAATTTTGAAATAAATGATGTTGAAATTCCAACTTATAACTTTTCTGTTAACTTTCTGGGTACCAACATGCCTTTGTCTGAGAACTGTTGTGAGTTTTCTAATCATCTTGTGCAAGAAAGATTTTCAGACAAAAATTTTAGTTGTGGCACATCAAAGAAGATGACAGAAAAAGGCAAGCTTGGGGAGGAGAAGCTAATTTCTGCTGAGGAAGCATCAAAAAAGGAGCTGAAAATAGGCAAGTTTGGGGAGGAGGAGAAGAATTCTGAAAAGAGGATCAGAAAAAGAAAAAAGATTTAAGAAGCTGACAAATGACTTATCTGATAAAAATATGAAGTGAAGGTTTGTATTATGATCGGATATACTTCAAGTATGAACAAGAAGGGTAAAACTAATCTAAACGAAATAATCAACAGAAACTAAATAACACAGAAGTTCTCCAAATGTTCCTTTCACCAAGAAAAAAGAGGTTTTGTCTTCACCAAGAAGACAAGGTTTGTCACAAAGAAAATTAACACAAAGCCATGAACTCTAGCGCTACATTAGGTTAGCCCTAATGTAGTATATATATACTAATTTATACATTTATATCCCTTGATTGACAGGATGGTATCTAATCTATACTAAGAACTGATCTTATCTTTTAGATACGAGATCTTATCTATTCTATATTTATCTATAATAACTGCCTAATATACAAAAGATTACAATAGAACAGCTATAAGCTGATGCGGTTGAACTTGTTAAGCTAGCGATGGCGCTGTCGACTCGTAGACGCTGACACTGATGGATCAGCATGTTATGTGTTTGACTCATCAGATCATAAGGTGTGACCTTACAATCTCCCCCTATCTAATGATGTCAATCTTCTTCTTCAGAGTCATCATAAGAGCCATTGTAGACTTGTCAACTTCTTTCAAAATTTCAAGCTTTACCCATATGAATTGATCAAGTTTCAGCTCATCCAGTCTTCTATTCAGCTCCAGTGATATCAGCACGCGATATCCTCTTTCTAGCTTATAGTGACCTAGCCCTTCCAAGCAAAGATGAAACAAATGCTCAGTGGGAGCAAAAGGAAGGTCATCAGTGCGTTGAAAGCACATCTGATTTTGACTATCAAGATAAAAAATCCCTTGCTCTGGTTCTGGAATAAACATGTACTGAACATGTTCAACACCAGCTGGTAATACATTATTGATGTATATGGTACCATAAAGAAGAAGGAACTTGGTATTCTTGGACTGCCGGGGAGTGCCTGTTCTTCCTGATGAGGTTGATCTAGATGAACTCGCTGAAGGACCAGCAAATGGTACCAGGTTTAGTTTCTTCACTTTGTTGAGAAGTTGCTGAATTGTCAACTTCACTTCTTGAGCATGAACACTTTTATGCTTGTTGATAATTTCAAGAATCTGCATCCAGTCGTTGAATCCAAATTTGACTAGCTCACGAGCAAACACAACTTTAGTGTATTCATACTCAATTTTCTTTCTTACCAAGTGAAGTTTTAGTTACTCGTTCTTTGGCTTGGTGCATCTTACTTTGATGATGGGATCATGATTTATTCTACGAGTCAGAATGTCTCCAAACTTCTTTCTATCAATCCGGTCATATAGTTTTGAAACAATGTGTTGTCTTTCTACATTGTTGTTGAAAATCTTCTTAACCTAATCATCAGTTCTTCGACGTTCAACATTTTTATCAGCAGAAACTAGTTTGGCAGACAAGCGTTCTTGCTTTCTGACTTCTTTCTTCTGTTGAATAGCAACATTGTATTCCTCCATTATCTGTTTAACTTCATCGATAGGTAAGCTCCATGTTTCTGCCAACTCACTCATATCAAAAGTGAGCTTGCTTTTCTTTTGAGGACGTACTGAAGTATCGCCAGCTGCAGTGGAACTTCCATCTTCAGAGTTAACAGCTCCCCCCTGAGAAGGAAGCCTTTCTTTTTTGTGGATTAAGCTGGACACCATCATCAGAATTAATGTCACTATTTGTTCCTGAGTAACCTCTTGAGCAAACTCCCGCTCAAAACAAGAATCAGGATAGATAACGTTTAATGGAACAGCAGAAACATCAGCTTGTTGCATGAAACCAAGATCTAGAAACCCTTCATAGTCATCAGTGTCTGATTGGTCACCAGCGTCTGGAATGGGCTGATCAGTTGCAACATTAGCATCAAGAATATCAGCAACAACAATCGGCTCTAGATGATCAGCTTTAGCTTTACTCCTTTCCGTCATCTCAGGCTGAGATGCAATAACCATATGTATTTGCATTGGTTGAGGACCCTCTTGGTATTTCTACCTCTTTTTGGCAGCATCGGATTGGGGATGAGAGTTATGAGGAGGATAAGGAGTTCTTGGAGGAGGATGTGATGGTGGAGGAGGTGGTAGAGGAGGGTTTGTTGATGAAGGAGGAGGTGGAGGACGGTTATCACCTGAAGTGTTTGGTGGAGTGTCATCAACAACCATGCCATCATCATCTTCATTATCCAAGCCCATAAGTATCTTCATTGTAGCCACATTCCTTTCAAATTTAGTCAGTCTTTTATTCATTGACTGAGACAACTGCACAATTAAGGAAAGTTGGGAAAGCACAACAGTTTCAAAGTTGGATCTGGATTCTCCTTGATCACCTTGATGAAAAACAACATCATTAATGGGTGATGGAGTAGGAGGAATCGTTTCAGCTTGAGGAGAAGGAGATGGTGTTGGAGAAGGTTCATCCTGGATCATTGGCTCGGTAGTATATCCAATTGGAGGAGTTGATCCACGATGTTCAGTGTCATCAGTGGGGGAAGTATATGAAAAACGTATGTGCTTGCTTTTCCTTGGAGGAGAATTCATATTTTGAGTGAAGTCTTCTCCCATGTAAGCTACTGAATGATATTCATTGTTATCAATGTCTTCTCCCTTATCAGCTCCTTTTTGATGACCAGCTTCTGAATTCTCATTATCACTACCTTCTTCATCACCAACATCATCATTGTCATCATCCTCTTTAGAGTCTGAGGATTCAACCACATAGGGATTTTCAATCCACTTTCGCATTCTTGCAGTGATAGACAGATCATCAACAGATGGGGCAACATTGATGATTTTCGAGGAAAGAGTAGAAATGGGAATGATGATCCCATGACTTTCAACATAGCCTTCTTCACAAGACAAGATCAACCCAAGATAGTGTGGGTAGGGAACATGCATTGGTCTCTTGTTTCCAGAACAACAATCAATCAGTTGATCAAAAAAAGATTTGAGCAAAATCCAGTTTCTTGTTGTAAACAATGGCATATAAGATTCTTTTCTCAAAGAGATTCAGTTGATCCAAACTTTCAGTCTTGTAACCAAGACATTTTCCAATCACACCTGTTAAATATTTCCATCTTGCATTGAAACATTGACGAAGAGTGTTCATGTAGGGATCATAAGTGAGGCCCTCGAGTTTGAAGTTATACCCTAGTTTTTCACAAACAGTGTTGCAACTATATTCAGAATGAGTTTTAGAGTATCTATCATATAGAGGAAGGCGAAGAGCAGTTCGAATGGTTTCCTCATCAATAATAACCCTATATTGACCATCTCCAATGGTTCCAGGGATGGTTCCAGCAATGGTATCAACAGAGCATGTGTAGTAGAACTCACATACTTGTTTAGGGTAGAAAGGTTCCGGAAAGTTGCAGAATGCATACCGAAGTGGACCGCTTTTGAAAAATTCAACAAAGTCTTCGATTCCAGAATTCACGAATTGCTTAGGTATATCATCTGAGAATGCCACATTTGTTGATTAAATGATGATGCTGGCATCATAAGCATGGCGACCTTTGATGATATTAGCGCTGGGAACAAACTCGTACAAGGGCTTTGACATGGTGAAAGTTGTGCGGAAGATGACAATTGAGAACCTTTTGAGAAAATGCCAATTGCTTTTGAATCGCTTGTGAAATTGACCTAGAGCGGTTGTAACACCTATTCCAGGTATTGATTTATTTTTTTATAATTTCTAGGGTTTTGTGCATGGACTCGGTGATTTGGGGTGCTCCAACTCGTCGAGTAGAGACTGTTAGGGGACGTGGGGTTTGGGTCCTACTCGACGAGTCGGAAGGCCCCGACTCGACGAGTAGGAGCTGTAAAGAGAAACCCTAATTTTTAGGGTTTGCACCCTATTTAAAGAACTTTTACGCCTCTTGTGGCCTCCCTTATCACCCTAACATCCAGAGAAAAACCCTAGATCGATCTTGAACCTTCTTGAGTGAGAGAAAGAGCTTTTATGAGTGATTTTGGGGCATTTGTGAAGGATTCTAGAGCTTGAAGAGGAAGGAAAAAGGAGAGGAGCAGTAGATCCAAACATCTACTCTGTCTTGGCCATCATTTTGAGGTATAAAGTCGTCACCTTGATCTCTAGTTGATTAGATCCCTTTTCTTGGAAGTAAATGGTCATTTTTGGTGCAAAATGGAGTCAAGCTTGGATCTGGACTTATCATAAGGATATGGTTCCAGATCTGGACCTCTCAAGGTCCCCAATGGCATAAAGTTGCTCACTTTATGCAGCCTAGCCCTTTCCATGCACAAAAACCTTGTAAGAAGCCTAGTTTTGAGGTTATGGCCTTGCAGGGCCTTGCATGCACGTAAAGTTTGCAACTTTACGTGGTATCTGCACTAAGGAAGTTTGGATCTGGAGCTTGGGACCATAGATCCCACTGAAAAGGGATGAACTTGGAAAGGACTGAAGGAACTCGTCGAGTCCCTTAGCTTAATCGACGAGTCGGGGTAGGGTTTGCCCGTTTCTGGGTTCCTGGATGGGTGCAGTGAAGGATTAGGGTTTTGGTCCGTTCAGACTTTAGTTTTCTGGAAATATGATGAACTCGACGAGTCAATACGGTGACTTGGCGAGTTGATACGGGACTCAGTGGAATGGACTCGGGAGGAACTCGACGAGTTACAAAGGTAACTCGGCGAGTTAACGAGTCATACAAGAACTCGTCGAGTTGATGGGTGTACTCGACGAGTTGAGGTCAACATGGACTGTTGACCTTGACTGTTGACCAGAGTTGACTTTGAGGGTAATTATGGGATTATGACAAGTTAATCACATGATGGTTATAGGCAGTTGAGGAGGAGCATTGTGTGGGACATACCTGATTTTAGCTTGTCAGTTCAGCATTTGAGAGGTGAGTCTTCTCACCATACCAATGGGTCTAAGGCACTAAGGCCGGCCCATTTTATGTTATGTGGATTGTTGATTGATTATGCGTTATGATAGTATGACGCTTGCATGGAAGACCACGTGGGGGTTCCTGTGTCATTTTTTATAAGACCTTGGAGGGTTTCCATGGTATCCTAGTATATCTTCTTGTATAGTTTGCATTATGTCTTGTTTGGTAGTGAAGACCTTGTGGGGGTTCTCAAGGCAGGAAGACCTTGTAGGGGTTCCCAAGGCAGGAAGACCATGTGGGGGTTCCCATGGCAGATAAGACCACATGGGGTTTCCCGTGGCATTAGGTGTAAGACCTTGGAGTGTTTCCATGACTTCCTTATATGTTGTATGCATGGCTTATGTGATGTGTGTAGCTTTATAGCTAATATGATATGTGTTATGTGGATTGTGTGTGGGGTATGCTCTGGGGGACTCACTAAGCATTATCTTACAGTTTGTGGATTTGTTTCAGGTACATCTGAGCCCAAGGGCAAGGGCAAGGTTTGATGGCGCGGCGTGCACTCTCACTCGGGCATTTTATGGGACACTATGATATTTTGAAATAAAGTTGTACTTGATATGGTTTGAAAACAATTGTAACTGGTTTTTGTGGATGATGGAAATGTGTTTTGGATAATTAAAAATGAAAAATTTCTTTTGAAAAATTGGGTTGTGTAACGCCCGCAGATATGGGCTAGTCAATTTAGAAACAATGAGCATCAAAAATGAGTTTTTGATGGAATATTATTTATAAGGATTAGTCTTAACCAAGTTATAGTATATGTTACAAGGGTTCCGTACATATAAAGAATGCCGAAATCCGAGTTATAACGAAGAAGTTATGGGCCGTCGAAGTTTTACGGCGAAACCGGCACGACATCGTGTAACGTAAAAAGTGATTTTTGATAAAATAATTTTTAGCCTTAGATATCTAAATGGAAGTTGTAATATACGTTAAACCAAGAGTGTGCATAAAAAGAACGTCAAAATCTGACTTCGTATGAGGAAGTTATGATTTTTCTAAGATTTGAAATAGCAGTGCACAGCCCGAAATTCGAATTTTAGATCGATCACTTTTTGGCCAACGCAACCTAAATGAGAATTGAAGATCTCATTAATAGTAGCGCAACAGTAAAAAGACAGACGAAAACGGACGTCGGATGAAGAAGTTATGAATTTTTAACGGACTTTTCCTGTCCTGGCCTGTTAAAAATATAACTTTAAAAATAAAGTGAAAATTAGTTGACGGAGTCTATATGAAAGTTGTAGAGTACGTCTCCACCTACTCGTGGATGTAAAGAGCATCAAAAACGGAGTTCGTATGAACAAGTTACAAATTATAATAGCATATTTACGTATTAAAATAAAGTATAAATCATATATATATACATATGTATATATCATTAGAAAGGTATCGACGATGCGGTCATTATAAGACTAGTGTTTGAATACTTTCGACATTAGTTTAGTACAAATATCGCTAAATCTATTTAAAATAGTATTATAAAGGGGTGTTTAGTTGTTTATATATAACTATAAGGTCATTAAGTAACTATGATGGTAGTTTTTGAAAATTCAATTACTATAAATAAGAGCGTTGGGCTCTCATATTTCTTGCACCATTCTCTTGATTCAAGAGTCTTTCTCTTCTTATCCCCCGAGCATTTCGGTCCCTCGTGATTCGACTTCTCTTTCTGTAGTTTTAGTATAGTAAGGTGAGCGCTGAAGCGCTGCACGAATCTTTCTTAGAAAGATTCAGCGACGAAGTTCTGCCCCTGCAGAGCCCGACTCCTAGCTAAAATCCCCTTGTAAGTAAGTTATGCTTACCCTATTTTAATATAGCTTATATTTAAAATTAGTATTGTTATTATGAACTTATAATAAATATTTGGGCTATTGTTATGACTTATATAAGTGTCGTTATAATGTCTTTTTAACTACTCGCGGTACGGGGAATCTGGTTTAAAGGGTCGCATAGGGTTGTTGGATTTCAGAAGTGCTATATGCCAAAATGGTCCTGCCCTCCGGTGTTTTATGTCTGGCCCCTGTCTGTACATAGTGGGTGAAAAGTATTGTTTTAACGCTTATATAATAATAATAATACTAAGACTATTAATTAGTCTCAGTGAATATTAGACTAAACTCTAGTTGTAATAATAGTAGGTTTCGTCAAAGGAAGTTGTTTTTTAAGAAGCGAAGCGCTGTCTTAGTTCAGAATCACCACCTTATCAGGTGAGTGCATAGTCCCTTTCATGAACATGATTTTAATACAAGTATTGATTAAAGTATTAAATATATGTTTATGTGCGAATTATTTGATGTTGCCTGAGATACGTGTTAAAGAACATACCTGATAATATATTATGATTTATGATAAAGAGTAAACCTAAATTAATTATAAGGAATATTGGGTAGTATCTTCTTATGAGTACGAGTGAGATATACACGGAGAATAGAACTTTAAAATATGTCATTGATTCGGGAGCATGGATTAGACATAGTCATTGTCCCTAGTCCGAGAGTATGGATTGGACATAGTCAATTGTCACTAATCCGGGTGTATGGATTAAGACATAGTCAGTTGTCCTTAATCCGGGAGTATGGATAGGACATAGTTATTTGTCATTAATCCGGGAGTATGGATTTAGACATAAACATTTGTCCTTAGTCTGAGAGTATGGAATGCTCACAGTTATTGATCCGAGAGCAGGAATTAGATCCGAGAGTATGGATTAAATAAAGAGGTAAAGTTTTGTGACATCCCCTTATTTCTCGGCCAGAAAAGACCGATTTATTTTATGCTTTTTAAAATCAAAACAGAGAAATCTTTATAAAAGATTTTGCGGAATTGGTCCCCAAAACAAAATATGATAAAAGTTTGTCAAAACCTTTCTTTAAGAAATATATCATTTCCTTTTATATCAAAACCTCGGGATGTCATGTTCCGATACAGATCAAAGCATAAACAAGACATTATAAGCCTTACAACAGTTATTTATAACTACTGGCCTATAATCCCAAAATCATCACATCATCATCCGACTATGCTCGGAGTCCTCTACCTGTAATATAAACAGCTGAGTGGGTCAGGCTTGGAAGCCTGGTGAACATATAGGGTTTTCAACCCACAGTACATAATTTAATATGCTTAAACATTAATCAATCAACCGAATTACCCCAACCCCATTATCTTATTTATTTCTTAAGGGTTTACCCTAAGATTCAATTATCACTCCTTCCTAAGGATTCATCCTAAGGAATAGCCACAAGGTCACACCATCACCAGGGTTTATACAACAGGGGCTAAATTCATAGCTCTTATTTATTGACAGTATTATTGACAGTATTCACCCCTGTCATACATGTCAATGGGTTTTTAGAGTACTCCAAATGAACATATAGTTCATTACACCTACAGGTTGCGGGCCTAGTAGTGTTCCACAGACCGCTAGAATAGTCCATGGTTGTCATCCCTACTCTGCTGAATGACGGGGGTCACCGTTTGGGTAAGGGCCTTATCTCATATTTCACCACTCACCCTCAGCTTATGATCCTTTCACCACTCACCCTCAACTATGATCAATATTACTGATCATCTCCTTTATCAACTCACCTTTCATCACACACCCATTATTTCATCTACCCATGTTTTACCCAACATTTTTGTAGATAAAATACATAGACAGTTTAAATTATTTTAAAAACATGTATAAATCACACCTTCAACATCAACTCAAATAAACAAACAAATAATATTCACACAGCACGTATTTTATATAAAATACTTCATATCTATGTGTGTGAAAGGTGAAAGTAACTACACACTCACTTGATTTAACGAAAATCGGGCAGCAATTCGTTTCCTAAAACGATCGTTTCTAATAAAACCGGGAGTTTTATTGAGAAACCGGGCTCTGCAAAGGGTCGGGCTTCGAAACCGAAAAGATAAATTTTTCGGGCTTCTCGGGCACTTCGTGGCGTATTCCGGGGGTTATAATCGATACAGGGGCTTCGAGGGATGTGAAAATAGCCAAATATTGAAAAAGGGCCAAAATTGCCAATTTTCCAAAAGTACCCGGAAGATCTCGCAAGCCTTCTATATATAGGCCCGAGGTCGGACCGAAGCAGCGAGAAGCAACACGCGTCGCAATCTGCGAGGTTCGGGGGCTAAGGCGGTGCGAGGTTCGGACCAGCTGCGAGCTTCGGATTGGTCAGCGCCTCGTTCGGACCAGATGTTGCTTCGGATTGGGCCTCCTCCTCGGTCGAATCAGAAGCCTACAGCAGGTCGGATCACGTGGGTTGCATGCGAGGATCACGTGCGTCTTCGGACACCTGTGCGACACGCGGCTATGTTCATGTGAGGGAAGGCGGACACGTGGCTCGCATGACTCACCAATTTCGGACACGTGGCACTTTCTAAGCGAAGGTGACGTGGCAAAAACGTGACTATGCGAATTTTCTCGATTTTGTGCAAAAACTTCTAAAATCCATAACTTTCGCATACGAGCTCCATTTTTGACGTTCTTTATATGCACGCGTAGGTAAAATTACGTTCTACAACTTCCGTTTAGACTTCGTCGGCTAATTTTGACTTTAATTTTTATATTATTATTTTTAACAGACCGGGACAGAAAATCCGTTAAAAATTCATAACTTCTTCATCCGACGTCCGTTTTCGTCAGACTTTTTACCGTTGTGCTACTATTTACGAGACCTTCGATTCTCGTTTAGGTCGTGTTGGCTAAAAATCACTCGATCTAAAATTCGAGTTTTTAGCTGTCTACTGTTAAGCTGAAACTTCAAAAAATCATAACTTCCTCATACGAAGTCAGATTTGGGCGTTCTTTTTATCTAACTTCTCGATTTAACGAATACTACGAGTTTCGTTTAGATTACTAATGCTAAAAAGTAGTATCAAAAACTCACTTTTTACGACATTCGGCATCGTGCCGGTTTGTCGCGAAACTTCGACAGGTCATAACTTCTTCGTTATAACTCGGATTTCGGTATTCTTTATATATCCGTAATCGTTGTCACGCCCACTACAAGTTTCTTAATAGATATCGGATTTATCTAATATTTAATTTTTGACGCTCATTTTTATTCTTAATTATTTAAACCCTAATAATTAAGCATAAAACACATAATATTCACATAATTCCTTTTCATTTCTTTTAAATGAGTTACAAAGGTTAACCTAGATCATTATGTCAATATTAATGCCTAGCCTAGAAACACGGGCGTTACAACTCTCTCCCCCTTAGGATGATTCCGTCCCCGGAATCACACAACGACAAACAACTACGGGTAGCGACTTACCATGTCACTCTCCGTTTCCCAGGTGGGATTTGGCCCATTTATATGTTTCCAATGCACAAGCACTAAATCGACTATCTTACGTTATAACTTCTTAGTCTTACGGTCAACGATTGCCTCAGGTTCTCTAATTAACCTCTTGCTCTCATCCAACCTTAATTCAAAAATCGGAATTATGTCGGGCAAATCTCCCGTGAACTTCCTCAAATAACACACATGAAATGTGTTATGAATACCCTCCAGTTCTTCCGGTAATTCTAGCTTGTAAGCTTGATTCCCGATCCTCCGAAGAACTTTAAATGGT